GCTCAAATCTATAGGAAAAAGAACGACTTCGATCACGTATCCTACCGTATTTTACAATCAACATTCTACCAGCATCTGCGTCCCCAAGAATCTCCGCTAGCCTGCCCACTATTTGAGTTGTCCATCTGGCTGAATTTATTTTTTTCAAATAAAAGCGTTAAATTAAAATTATTAAAGCGCCTAAACGTAGCTTCTGTTTTCCGGATTACGGTATTACCTAGTCCATGATGAAAAATTGGGCATCAGGAAAAAATACGAACGCTAATGCAGCCAATAGGAGGGAAGGCAGTGACAAACGAATACTCGGGTCTCTCACCCCCTCTCTCTCTCTCTCTCTCTCTCTCTGTCTCTCTGTTTCTCTCTCGCTCACTCTGCCCATCTTTTGCAGGACGGATTCCTCCCTCCCAAAATTACCCAAATTAAGGGCTCGGCGCGGAGGGGAAGGGGGGACTAGACGTCTCCAGGGGGTCAATTTCTTTGAACTTTTCTCTGGGGAGGAAATTGGTGGGTGGCAACGAAATGGGGGAATTCAGGAACTCTAAGAGACTACATTCCATTACACTACGCATCGATACGTGAGGACCCGCTGGTTCAAAAGGGACGAAATAAACTTTAAAAAATTGAATTTTGAAATTCGGGTGTGTTACGGCTAATATTCGGGCTAAAAGGTGGTCCAGTTACCGTAAGCAGCAATAATCATCGTACAATGGAAAACCGCGAAGGAAAGTAATGTTAGGATCGGTACGAGTGGGAGAACATGAAGAGGGAGAGAGAGAGAGAGAGAGAGAGAGAGAGAGAGCGAGAGCGCGCGCGCGCGTGGGAGAGACTGCTGTAAACTGCAATATAGGAAACACCAAAAAGTCTAAAGTTCGATACATGTACCCTTACCCCCACGCACTACGGCCAATAGTTTAGGCAGACGTTCCGGAAAAGCCGGAAAATGGCTTTCCTCCTTTTTGTGTAGTCTGGAGGGAGAAACGGATGAGAAGAGAAGGGGAGCAAAGGAGAAGCCATGAATGGCCTTGATTCTGAATGCCCCGAGGGCACATCACAGCTCAGTCGAGCGCATCGACAACTATGTGGTAGCTATGTTGATGGAGGTTTGGATATGCGGTTAGATGAAAAATGAGGAAATGAGAGAGAGGGATAGAGTGAGAGAGAGGTAGAAACACCGAGCGAGAGAGAGAGAGAGAGAGAGAGAGAGAGAGGAGCATGAAAATCTTTACAGAGTAACGGACTATCTGAAACTTTTCAAGGAATTTAGCTAGGTTCGAATATTCTCTAGGTGATGCGCCTAATTAATGCCCAAAGCCAGACAAAATCAGAGCGAGAGAGAGAGAGGGGGAGAAAGCGAGAGAGAGGGAGAGAGAGAGAGAGAGAGAGAGAGAGAGAGAGAGAGAGAGAGAGAGAGAGAGAGAGAGAGAGAGATAGAGAGAGGGGCGTAGATGGCGAGAGTGAGAGAGATAAGAAGACCAGGCCCTATTAAACCCGTAATAACCGCGTGTATCAGCTGACTACCTGCTTCATTCCACGAACAAAATTGATGAGTCTGGGTGCGGAGAGCCGTGTAAAAACGTGAATACGCCGTGACTTCTAGCCTAATTGGGTGCCCACCTAGAGGACCATCATCATCTATGCACATAGAGAGAATGAGAGAGAGAGAGAGAGAGAGAGAGAGAGAGAGAGAGTGAGAGAGCGACATCCCCCTCCTTACTCTACCCATGCACGACGTCTCATTTGGCGCCTCAGAAAGGAGCTCCGGGACTCAAAACAACCCCTGGCAGGATGGAGTAGCTTTTCGAGGCTTTTCCTCTCTTGTGGAATGAGGGCGTCTACTGCCGGATGAGGGGGATGATCTTCGAGGTCTAGATGAACTTGGGGTTTCCCAAGGAAAAAAAGAGAAATAAAAATAATGAAGCATGATGAAGCCTGGGCCTTAAATTGGTAGCAGAAATAATTAGGAAGTTTTGATTCGGGAGCATAGAAAGTATTGGATGTTTGACCAGATAAAATTTACGTTCAAAAAGCGAGTAGACCCCCTAACTGCATCAGCACCCTTTTTCGATGTCTAAAAACCTTCCTTTAAGGTTGTACTTTCGAATTACGCGAAAAAGCGCGAAAAATCTATTGCGCAATACATTTCGAAGTGATATTTGGCATGCCCCACAAATTAGCATATTTCATTTGCCTTGCGGGCAAAAACGGCCGGAACTTCCGGCGAATTGCATGCATTTCCAAGTATAAAATAAAGAGGGTTGAGAGGAGGGCATCTCTCACACAACTCCACACCTCAACATCAACACGAGATGGGCGACAAATCGGCCTACATGACCCCTGGCGGCTACAGCGGCGGCGGCGGAGGTGGCGGTGGCGGCGGCAGCTATGCTCGGTATGCGGTTGATGATCATCTACTTGTCCTGCTTCTGCTCCTTGTCTTGAAAGACGTTATTTAACTCCTCAATTTTCAGTGAGGACTACGCTTTCGGCGGCGGCAGCTACGGCAGCGGCGGTGGAAGCTCGGGCAGCTCGGGCGGATCGTCGACTCCCGGCGTCACCAAGCCGCGCACTGACGTCTCGTGCTACATGGGCCCCAACTAAACATCCTGGCACCATCTACACGGCGACGACAGCAAGCAGCCCCTTCTCATCACCCTCCTCTCTCACCCGCAACCCACCGAATGGCCCCTTCAGCCCTCGTGTTCCTTTTTCGCCCATTTTAGCTTTCTTACGAGGCAAATAAAGGGTGATTGCAATGAAGCATTCGTTTTAACGTTTGCTTGCACAATAAACACACAAAACACAACACAAATAAATATTACACGCACACTGGTGGAGTCTACAGAGTAGCACTTGTCTTCGTCTTGGCTTGTGGTCATGGCTTTGTCATGTTTTTGTTGTCGTTGGAATGCTTCTTTCGAGCTTTGTCGATGCTTGGAACGCTTGTCCGTGTCCTGGTAGAGCTTGCGCTTAGGCCTAAGCCTAGCTAAGCCTAAGCCTAAGCCTAAGCTTAGGCCTATCCCCGAAGCCTAAGCTTAGGCCTATCCCCGAAGCCTAAGCCTAAGCCTAAGCCTAAGCATAGGCCTATCCCCGAAGCCTAAGCCTAAGCCTAAGCTTAGGCCTATCCCCGAAGCCTAAGCCTAAGCCTAAGCCTAAGCTTAGGCCTATCCCCGAAGCCTAAGCCTAAGCCCAAGCTTAGGCCTATCCCCGAAGCCTAAGCCTAAGCCTAAGCTTAGGCCTATCCCCGAAGCCTAAGCCTAAGCCTAAGCCTAAGCTTAGGCCTATCCCCGAAGCCTAAGCCTAAGCTTCCAAGCCTAAGCTTAGGCCTATCCCCGAAGCCTAAGCCTCAAGCTTAGGCCTATCCCCGAAGCCTAAGCCTAAGCCTAAGCTTAGGCCTATCCCCGAAGCCTAAGCCTAAGCCTAAGCCTAAGCTTAGGCCTATCCCCGAAGCCTAAGCCTAAGCCTAAGCCTAAGCTTAGGCCTATCCCCCGAAGCCTAAGCCTAAGCCTAAGCTTAGGCCTATCCCCGAAGCCTAAGCCTAAGCCTAAGCCTAAGCCTAAGCTTAGGCCTATCCCCGAAGCCTAAGCCTAAGCCTAAGCTTAGGCCTATCCCCGAAGCCTAAGCCTAAGCCTAAGCTTAGGCCTATCCCCGAAGCCTAAGCCTAAGCCTAAGCCTAAGCTTAGGCCTATCCCCGAAGCCTAAGCCTAAGCCTAAGCTTAGGTCTATCCCCGAAGCCTAAGCCTACGCCTAAGCCTAAGCTTAGGCCTATCCCCGAAGCCTAAGCCTAAGCCTAAGCCTAAGCTTAGGCCTATCCCCGAAGCCTAGGCCTAAGCCTAAGCCTAAGCTTAGACCTATCCCCGAAGCCTAAGCCCAAGCCTAAGTAGGTAATAAGCCTAACCTCTCGTAAGGGATCGGTTTTGCCGATGACTCAAAAAAGCACTCCTTGTAAGCCCTGGGCTAAGGCTACGCTTAAACGCAGAGCTAACCCTAAGCCCGATCCTAGGGTTCATAAGGTAAGCCTCCTCATAAGCCAACCGAATCATAGGGCTTAGCTTAAGCCTAGGCCTACGCCTACCTTTCTGGAAGAGGCCAAAATTGGTGATATCGACAACAAAACGCAGCTGGCTATCGCATCTGTGGGTGCTTGAACTCGAAATGCACTTGCTCTTGCTGAAAATATGCAAAAAAACTCTTTATTTGTTTAATAGCTTCGTTCCGCAACCGTACAAACAACGAGAAGCGTACATAGTAGTAAGCGTAGGGGAGTACACTCCACAACAGATTCCAAAAATCCTTCGGTGTTGTCACACGGAGCTGGTCCAAACGGATTTCTAATCTTTCTCAAGTTACTTTTTTAGCCTTTTCTCCATCGTTTCTAATGCTTTTTAGCTATTTGTTCTCAGACTCCCTGTTGTCTTCCCCCTCCCACGCTCTCTCCCATCCACAACCCGTTAGGCGAGTCAATCCTTTTCCTACGCGACGCCCGCCCGTTGCAGGACCCTCGCCCCTTCCCCCTTTCTGTTTCGTGTTTGCCGGCCGCCTTTGCATCACCCGCGTGCAATTCTCGGGACTGATCACGGGAGCCGCGCCTTCCATTGTAGCCAGCCAGCCCGGCTGCCACCTCATAATCGTTACATCAGCAAATTGGCCGATGTTGCCGCCTTGCACAACGTTTTATGGTCCAGTTTAGCGGAAATCTAGCTCATTTCCGAACGCTCTCTTACTGTATTGAATCGCTAATTGATGGTAGACGCTGCTTATTGAGCTTCTAAGCATCTCCTGAATTTTTCCACCCTTGCGGTCTGCTAATAGATTGGTTTTCTGCTGTTTATGATGCCAGATTAGTGCTGGAAAACTCAAGAAAACTCAAAACAATTTTGAAAAGTTACTCGATGATTCATTCCATTTCTATGTCCTAATTTTTCTAATGCTGTTAAAATTCCACTTTCAGGACAGCGGTTTAAGCCTGCCAATAGGGCTGAATGCGCTGATCTATGTTGGGAATGACAAAGCAACCTGCAGCCAATTTCGGAACTACCGGCGTCGGCGGTCTCTCCATCAATGACCCCGACAAAGCCAAGCAACAACAGGTCGGAAGCTTTTTTTGGGAAAAAACACGATTTTTTAGGTCTATGAGTTTGTGGAGAACATGAAACAAGACCCGGATGGGTGGAAGAAGTCGGTCGAGTATATCGTCACCGGCGCCGTCAGGTAGAATTTGGAGTCAGGAAACTAAAATTCTGTTTTTAGTACCGTGGATGAGCATTACCTGCTCTTCCTGGTCATCGAAGAGTTTTTGAAGAAACGGTACGCCGCCGCAAACAACGAGGACGTCCGGATCGTCCGGGATTTTCTCGCATTTTGGATGCAGAAAATCGTAAGTTTTTAAAGTGATACGCAGATCAAAAACTTCTGACAACTAGGTTTAGTACTGAAAAATTTCGAAAAAGAACAAGAAGAAGGAAAATTTTTATTGATCTGGTTTCAGAACGGTGACGGCTCCTACCCAGCCTACGTCGTCAACAAGCTCGCCCAGCTCTTCTCCCTGGTGTTCGCCTCGGATTTCCCATCGCGTTGGCCCCGCTTCATGCAAGAAGTCTTCCTCGACAGGTGTGGAAAATTTACAGTTTCCCATTTTCCCAGTTGTAGAGGCTTCACCCATCACCCGACCGTCCAGTTCTACCTGAAGACGCTGCTCGCCATCGACGAGGAAGTCGTCAACCGATATATGAGCCGGACCCCAGAGGTTTGGTCGTGCTCGAGTGCCAAAAATTGGCTTCAGGAGTTCGACCGGAACACGACGATCAAGGACGCGATGCGTGAGCTGTGCATCAAGGACTGCTCGGAGAGCTGGGTGTTGATTTTGGTCGGTTTTAGAGAAATTGTTCATTGGAAGATGTCGATGTTGCTTTTTTCGCATAAGCACTGAAATGTATAGCCAAGCTCACAAGCCGCTTATTAGTCTTTTCAACCAAATTTAGCTATATTTTAAGTTTAAAACTTGTAAAAACTAAAAATATGAGATTTTATCGAAAATCTTTATTTTTTACGTTCGGAGTTGCATAAAAAGATGAACCACTCATTATTATTTTTATTCCAGGAGCAATGCTCGGAGCTCAGTGACCACGCCCTCGTCTTCGAGGTGGTCGCCGCCTACGTGGACTGGATCGACCTCGAACTCGTCGCCAACGAGCGCTTCGTGCCGCTTCTGATGAAGGGGCTGGCCAAGTCGGAAACATCTGAGGTTTTTACCCCTCCCTTGTCTTATTTACGCTCGAATTTCCAGGAAGCCATTCAAGCTGTGGAGGGCCTCGTCCAAAAAGGCATGCCGGCCAGCAGGAAGCTTTTCCTCACCTCCGGCCTCCTCAACTTCATCAAGACCAACAATTTGCTGGCAATTTCCGAGGTTGTTTTCACAGCTATAAAGTGACGTTTGTGTTTAGGATAGTTTCAACGAGGAAACGGAACGAGTCGCCTGTCTCGTCTCGTCGCTTGGTCACCAGCTGGTCAACGTCAACTCGACGTGAGTTTTGGGTCCTAGAATGCTTCGAATTCTATTTTTTTGCCGTGTAGCATTTTTGTCGTAGAGATCGCTTTATTCACACCAAACGTAGACACCGCGCTTCACAGGCCCTTTTGCTCTCAAAACGATTCGAGTTTCCGCAGCCGGAGAACGAGAAGCGCTCACAGGCTCGGGTTTCGTTGTCGAAGTACCTGCAGCAGTTAAGCTAGCTAACTGGGATTTTGATATTTTATCGTTTTGACCGTCTAGAATATCTCGGAATCAAATGTCTGTAGGAAAGCTGATTTTAAAAATCGCGAAATCCCGCGTTTCGGACCAGATTTGTGAAATTTTTTGGCCAGGTTTGGCTTTCTAGATATCTAATAAGACTACAAATCTGACTTACCACATTATCCGAGCCCGCTGACAATTCCCAGTAAGTGGTGGCAGAACACAGATATCAGGTTCTGGCGTTGACGTAGTGGTCGTAGGGGGTGGCTGCGTAACGGGAGGTGGAGGTGTCCAAGGCGCTGCTGTCGCTAACGTTGCCGCTGGCGTCCCGGCTTCTGGAGCGGGGGCAGGGGGCGCAAGGCTAGAATTTATCCAATTCAAATAAGCGCTTCCGGCTTACCTGAACAGCTTCAACAACGAGCTGAACGGGTCGTTGGCCCCTGCCTGATTTCCTCCCTGTTGCCCCAGTAGGCCAAAGAGGCCAGCGGATGCGGTGGTAGTTGCGCTGAAGTTTGGTGGGGCGGGGGTCGCAATTTCTGATGTCGGCGCTTCTGTCGCTCCTAAGGCCGAACCAAAAAGATTGGAGAGCATGTTGCTGCCGGAGAAGCCGTTGCTGGCCGGTTGGAGCACGCATTGGGCTATCTAATAATTTACTGACTGTAGTTTATTAGGTTCCTTTACGATGAATTGCACAACTAAACGTTTTCCTGTATAACCCCAGGTTTTTAGCGAAGAGCTAACGTGTCGGAATATCCTTTGCCTGCTTTTGAGCATAGTTTAAATATTAAACAAAATTTTATAGTCTAGTTGGAAATTCGGTTTTTTTTTTGTTCGAAAACGGACAAAATTCCGGGCTTTTTTAAATTATTAGAAGTTTTTTTGCTACAAACATAGAAAGATTAACTAAGATTTACCGATTTTAGAAAATACGGTAGTAGCCAAACAGAAAAAACTCACATCATTCTGCACAACGCATTGCTTTGGCGCGTCGCAAATCAGCGATTCACAGGGCGAGAATTGGGCTCTAGTTAGCTGTAGTAATACGAGTAATATAACAATTCTCGAGACCATCGCGTGAGGTATACCAGACACGCGCCCAGAAGAGTCACTCACACTGCCCAGCGGCGAAAGTCGGAAATCCACTCTCACCGGCCGTTTTTGGGGTGGAGCCGTGGAGGCACACCACCACTATAGAGGGGGCTATTTGTTAGGGGATTGCCATTGAGAGGAGCCCCCTCTTCTTCCCATAGAGCCCCTTACAGGAGCTGGTTCTCCGCCACCCCAGGAGCCCGTGACTCATTCAATGGGGCATCCCTGGGGGCGGGGAGTTGATTTTGAAAAGTTTCGGAGAAAGAACGGATTTTTTTTACTCTGTGGCTTTCGACGTCGACGAGACTTCGGAGGCAAATCTCCCTAAATTTCGAGGTTTTTCAATTGGTATTTGAAGCTTAAACTGGAAAGAAATGGCTCGTTTGTAATAACAATCCTTCTTTAAAATGCTGTATACGAGTTAGATGTGTATAATTTAAATTCGTAGATGAAAACTCGGAGAACTGTATAATAACTCGGAAAAACCTCTTTTTTGTGTTCTAAAAACCATTTCCAATTTTCAGGATCGAGAAAGAAGGAGGAACCGTTGCCGATGCGCTCGCCGCCCTCTCTCTGGTCCGCGAGCTCGTCCCCATCGCCCTCCAGGTCCTCGGCCACGAAGAAGCTGAAATTAGCGAGGTTCGTTTACACTCAAAATGGAAAACTTCTTTTTTTTAGCTGGTCATCGACTTCATCCGCAGCTACGTGCTCATCGTCAACGCCAGCAATGAAGCGGTTCGAAGATGCTTAAAAACTAATTTATTTATTCAGGAGACGCTAGAATTCCTGAAGCGTGTCGTCCAAGTATCCCTGCGCCGCTACACGATGCCCTTCGAGCTGGAGCCGGACGGCGAGGGGGAGGACGAGATCAAGTTCCACGAATACCGCACCCAGCTGCGCAGTCTGATCAACCCCATTGGAACTCGCGTTCGTTTTTCAAAACTTTCGGGACACTCATTTTATTTACTTGCCAACCGTGTGTTTTTAGCGTCCCCAGCTCGTCGTGGAGCCAGTAGAACAGATGGTGGCCCAGGTGTTGAGCTCGGGCAAGACGATGAACATCCGGCAGGTCGAGGCCACGATACAGCTCGTCTACTCGCTGGCCGACATGATTCCGGTTAGCCTTGTTTTTAAAGTCCTGGAAAAAACTTTTAGGCAAATTTCCCCAACACTGCAAAAGACAAGGACGTTTGGCTGGTGCGCGCCGCTCAACTACCCCTGGCTCTTTGTGGGTTTTAGCATTTTAGACAGTTTTTTTTGATAAATTTCATTAATTTGCCCTGCTCATAAAGCGCCGTTATATTGTAAAAAATTGAACAAAGTTGGATTTTATTGGTGTATTGAACCGGTGATAAAATTTCTTATAAAAATATTTTTAGTGGACGCCGTCCCACTCGATGGTCGCTCCAAGCAGGTGCATATCCAGTACTTTGAGAATGTGTGCCGGTAAGAATAAACTTGTCTTTTAAAACAAACTTTTTAGGTATGAAAAGCTGGTCGGAACATCCCCGAATAAGGTTGTCCCGCACGTCGCGGCCGCTTTCCTCGACGAACGAGGCCTCGGCTTCCCGAGCGATAAGGCAAGGACAAAAAGCAGGAGCTGTTAATTTGTCAATTCCAGGTCCGCAGCCGCATCGCCTATCTCTTTGTGCGATTCGTGAAGGCACAGAAGCAAGCACTCAGCCCGCTCGTCTCTGAGGTGTGTTTTGAGGGAGAGAAAAAGACAGTGAAAGAGCAAAAAAAACAATTGTTGCTATCGAATCTCCTGGAAATCTCCCCAAATGCTATGCCAAGCATTTCGGCATATTGACATCTCGGCATTATGAGCCGCAAGTTCAGAATTGCGATATTTTTTTGAAAATAAACGAAAAACCGGCATTTTTTGCTTTCGATGCGTTTTAAAATTAAAATTTCAAGGCGTTTTTAATTTATTTTTCAGATGGTGCCCCGCATCGCGCCGATACTGGCCCCGGGAGCCGTGACGCCGCTGTCACCAGAAGATCAGGGCTTCCTGTTCGAGGTCACCGCCACGCTCATCGTTTTCGGCAACTTGGAACCGCAGCAAAAGGTAAAAAATTGGCCTATGGCACAGCGTCCGAAACGTGTTCAGCTACGAAACCCTCGAAACCACGGTGTTGTAAGCTCTTCTTTTATGTATAAAATAACCTAAAACTAAACCGCTTAAGAAACCTAGTTTTTATATTGTATACTCATTTTTCAGCGCCAATTCTTCGAGGAGCTGATCGGCACCGTGGCCACCCGTTTCCAGCAGGGAATGCTCGAGCTCCAGGCGGCACGTCAGCAGGGGATCCCTGAAGAGATCACCAGATGCGAGACGTCACTCACCACCGTTGTCTCTCATGCCAGGTGAATTTAAATAATTTAACTTTATGGTTTCCGCATGTAGTCGGCTCTCCAAGGCCTTCTCGAAGGACGTGACGATGAATTCGCAGTCGAGCGCCGATCTGTTTATGAACATCCTCACCGTAAGTGATTACCCGAATTTTTCAAATATCTTTTTTTTCAGCTATTCCTCGACCAGCTAACCCCGGTCAACGCCTTCTTGCTGGAGAACATCCGGCAGCTCACCAACCGCCTCGTCGTCTGCATAGAGCAGGAGATGCTGCGGCTCTTGCCCCGCGTCTTGGGCAAGTTCAGCGAGTGCAGCTCCGAGCTGGACCAGATGCATCATCTTCTCATCCTGTGCCATCAGGTCGTCACCAAGTACAAGGTGATTTTAGTCTGATTTCCCGGGAATCTCTATTTCAGAAATCCATCCTTCACACCGGCTCCAACCTGGGCACGATTCTCTCGCAGGCGGCGCGTTTCGCTTCCGACCCGGAGGTGCAGGCAAAGTTCCGGCAGGATTCTGTGAACAAGTCGGCATTGGTATAATTATCTTTTTTAGCGTTATTTCAGCATTTTAGCTAATGTGCCAACGATCCTTTGCTCAATTCCTGTATGCCGTTGTGGTCAGCGAGACGTTGCAGGATCTGGCTCCGGGTACGGTTTTAATCTTTTTTTTCCTCCATACTGTTGATCTGTGTACATTTCATCGACTCTTGTTATTGCACGTTTTTTCGGTTCAGCTGATGGGTTTTTGTCTATAAAATGCACCCAGCTCGATGATCTCTATTTTTTTTAGGAGAAGCCGGCGACATGGTCCTCGAATCCGCTCGTCGACTCGCCTTCCTCTCCGACACCACCGTCCAAAAGCAGGCAATCATGAGTCTGGCCAAGTGCGCGATCCAGAGCATCACCGTAAGCTTTACGAGCTAATTTCTAACCGCTTCTTTCTGGCGGAAATTCTTGTATAATATTTTTCTTTTAGCACAACGGCGGTCGCTGGTATCAACCAATGGTGCGCACCATTCTGGAGATCCCCACACTCCCGCATTTGGCCCCCACCGATGCCGGCAGTCAAATCGTAAGCGAAATACTTTCAGCTGATTTTGTTTATTTAGGTGCTCCACGAGTGCGCCAGCGGGCTGCAGTCTATGCGAGAAGCCGCACAGCCGCAATTCGATCAAGTCGTCGCCGGACTGCTGCCAGGAGAAATCGGAACGGTGGGTTTATGTGCTTATCTGGTGCCAATAAGCTTTCCGGGATTTTTGTAGCTGCTTGCCTTTTCTAGGCAACTTCTTTTTAGGTGTATTTTAATGGGGGGGTTTTCCCAGCTTCCGATACAAATCCAGAGCAAATTTTGGTTGATTTTGAGGCTTTTCCCATTTTCCATACATTTTCGATTAAAAAGTTTAATTTTCAACCATTTTTGGTGATTTTTTATTGAAAAACAGCTTTGAAAAACATGAAAGCTGACTAGGTTTCATGATTGCGCCAGGAGGTCATATGAAAAGTCTGTCCCCCCCCCCCCCCCGCTAAAATAGGCTGAAACGGGTCACACATTTTCCACAGATTGCCTTCAGGATTTCCGCTTTTTGATGCTCTCAAAATTCTGCCGACGTCATTAGGAGCCCTGCGTTGGCACGCTTCTTATCAGCACGTGCAGACTTCCGGCCAATTTATAGGCATCATTTCGTTTTTCAGAATCTAATCGGAATGCTGTCCACGCTGAAGGGCCGCGAGCTCGACAAGGCACTCACCGAATTCTACTCGCGGATTCGCAGCCAGCAGCAGAAGACGGCGTGATGCTCGGCACCCACCCGATCCACCTAACTTGTTACCTAGTATTTATTCCAGTTCAGTCCAGGTTCACGACCGCTTCAAAAATACTTCTATTCTCGGGCGCAAAATATAAAAATTTTGAACCCGGGAAGCCGGTCGTGGCCTTTTAAGTTACGCCCTCTCCCCCTTCCACCCTTCTCTAGTTATAGGCGATTTTGCGTTTTTCTTTTGTCCCTCCCCAGAAAATTTATGTGAAAATTCTTGTTTTTTTTTGCTTGTTATACCGGTGTCACGGGTGTCGTCCGGGGCTCTGTTTCGGCTCTGTCTCTGAAATTGACCATGTTGCGTGTAACTCTGCCTTCCTCTCTCATTTCGGGCCATCCACCACACAGCACAGCACTCGTGTTCTACTTCTTCTGCTTCACGTCCCACACGTACGGGTATATCGACGTTCGGAAATTCGACAAAAGTTACGAAATTTTATTTGTTGGCACGACTCGGAAAATTACTTCTGGTTTGGCGAGGTGCGCAAAAAAAAACACAGCTTCTTACGGTTCGTAAAAATTGGAATCGGGTATTTTTGGGCCATTAGAAAGCTCTCCAAAAGGCGAGAAAACAAGCGAAACTGATCTATCAGTACTTTGATGATGAGCATTTTATTGCAAAAACTGGGATTTTTTGGACGAGAAAATGGCAAAAAGACTGTTTTCACTTCCAGAAAAATGGAGAAATGGTTTCAAAAAAGGCAATTTTTCGCCGTTTCGTGCCGTAAATCTCGTAGAAATTCCAGAAAAAAAACAAATAGCTTTTGTTTCTCGCCTTGTCGAGAGCTTTCGATAGCTACCGAAATCACCAAAATCAGGAGCTCCTCCGAACCACCAGAGTGTTTTTTCGAGTCTTGCACCCACCCACCTCTGCCGTGTTGTGTTGTCCAACGTGTTTTGTGTGTTAAATTTCGATGCTGTTGCCTTCAAAAACAAAAAAAAGTCATTTCACCCGCCCTTCCAGGTGTCTGCCGCCCCCGCCACTTTCGTTCAAAATCGTTGTCGCTTCCCGTTGCGGGCCGTATCTTTTCAAGTGCTTCTTCTCCCCCCCCCCGCTATTTCCCTTGCAACTCCCCTGTAGTGCCTTGTCCTTTTCCCCAATGCGCGTCTGCTCAGCACTTCTTTCAGCCTTCGCTTCAGCTCGGTGTCCCTCACCCCCCAAAAAATGTGATACATAGGCTCTTCCAATTGACCTGACAATTTATGCCCCCATTTCCCCTGCCGGGTTTGGCCGAGATCGGAAAATTCCCGGCGGCTTTTCCCAGCTTCGGCCAAACCTCGCCTACCTGCCCACCCTTCATCGCCCAATCCCATCCAATTCATACGTGACCCTAAAACTCGTCGTTTACCCTTACCCCCTTCGTCGCCTCCGCTCCAACATGTAACCCAGCCATTGCCGTTCATTATTGACGTTTTCATAGATATATCAGTCTCGATTTTAATAAATTTTATAAGCGCTACTTTCTCGTGAATTCGAGAACAAGGTAATTTCTCACACACGCAGTATTGAAGACGAACATTTTTAGGCTCACTAATTTGTCAGCTCAAAGTTCCGAGGCAACGCCAGAGCTGAGGGAAGGCTGAAGTATGCTTTCCCTCGTGGTTGTCATCTGCTGGGAAAGCTGTTTTCTGTAAACATTGGGAACCACTTCACGACGGCTCTTTTTAGGCTAATTTGCAGCGGTCAGGCTTGTTTTTTCAAAGGAATTTCCTCGCGCCAACCCCTCCCCCCCCTCGATAGCGAACAAGGCCCGCCTCACACGCGGCAAGAATGACATTATCAAGAAAGACATTCTCGATATTTTCCTCTTTTTTTTCACGGTTCCAGCCAAAACTGAGCAAAAGAACTCCCACCAACCGATCGAATCCCGGCCCCAATTTAGGGGAAAACCGTCAACCAGGCCGGGCCGATCATCGAGCTGGATGTATGTGGGCGCGCGGGTGTCTGTGTATGAATGGGGTATTGTGAACCGGGGGCCGGCTTCTCGCCCCCCTTGTGCTACTCTCTGGCCCGTCCCCCTTTACACCGCTATCTCGGCACCCCGGCGGCCAGGCCCAAAACGTGGCAATCCCAGGCCCGCAAGCCTGTTGCCTGTGTATATTTGCCCCGGGATTCACAGCTATAAAGTTTTGACGGTTCGGCGTTTGGCGATGCCACGGCGGACGACGATTGATTTGGGGGGATTGGCGAATTTTATAGCGTTCTATGGTTTATAGAGTAGATTTAATTGAAGTTTTGCTTTAAATTAAGCCAAATTTTTTTAGATGAACAACGCTGGCTAATTGTTTTAGCGCATTCTGCTGCGCCGTAGGACGGCGATAGATTTGGAGCGATTGGCGAATTCTATGATTTTTAGGGCTTAGAAAGTAACTTTAGTTGAATTTTTGCGCTAAATTAAGGCACTTTATGGTTGAAAAACGTGGGCTTGGTTTTGTTTTGGGGTATTTTCTGCCCTATCCGACGATTGAGCTGCAGGCTGCAGGGCGTTCTTTAGTTTTCTGGGTTTATTGAGCAGCTTTAATTTTATTTTGGCATTAAGTTAAGCCAATCTTAGATGAAAATGTGGGCTCATTGTATTAGCAGTTTCTGCAAATAATCACGACAATTTTCTCAGAGTTTTTAAGCCGTTTTAGCCGCTGCTAGGCCCCCATTCCGCTGATTGTGAGCGCTCTTTTCTTTCCTTTGCCATTCGCTTAGGCCCTGTATTTCCACCTGGCTTTGTTGACCCAAAACAACAGCTTTATTTCGGGCAGCTCGCTTCCTTCTGTTGTTTTTTGGATCGAAAATTCTATTCCTCTCCTTCATGACCCCTATCCCTAGCTAAATTCCCCTTTTTTTCAGGCAAAAACGGGTCGACCCCGGCGCGTTGAGCCGAATAGCTGCATGCTGGCGGGGTCAGGATGGGTCGCGCCGACACAGACGACGTCCAGCCGCTGCTCCACGGCGTTGATGGGGAAAAGAATGGCGTCGTGCGGTTACCGGTTGGTGTTTAGATGCTAAAAAATTAAAATTTTAACAATGAGTATCTTTGTTCATTTCTTGTTTTTCGAAATGATAGAGTTAATTAGGTAGAGCGCAAAAATCTGAAAAAGTCCCAGGTTTTTAAAATTGCGGAACGATAACCAGCTTCGAGAAAAAGTATCGCAAAGTTTAACTTTTGTTAGCGGGGCTAAAAATGGGCAAATTCTGCCCGAGATTTTTTTCCAGGACATTGATCGTTCATCGCTTTTTGAAGTATGGGATTTGTTCGGAACACGAGGCTCTAGCGAATGAGTTATTTCACATCTAATAACTCCAGCGTCACCTATAAAACGACGCTTTGTTAGCAGTTGAATTGTTTCTCTTCAACCCCCGGAATTCATACATCCAAAATCGGGGGTAGCGGGCGTAGCCCGCTAACCCCTTTTGGTTTGAGGTACCCCCATACGACTCTTTTGGGGTCCTTTTCCGGATTTAAAAAAGAACCATGCATCGGATCGCGAAACTGAATACACCATCGGAACCGGCGACACTTTTTGCATACTATAAGTTTTTAAAAATTGAAAAAAGTTAAATTTCGAATTTTAACAGCCGATTTAAATTGCGTTTCGAGGGGGGTCTGCGTTTGTTTGTATGTCTGTATGTACGCAAAACCTTTGTAGTCGTCAAAAACTGCCTTCCCATAGTCCGTTTGGGCTGAAATTTTCCACATATATTGACTTGATGTAAATGAAGGTGAGGAAGAAGCGTTTTTTCCAAAATAGGCTTTTAAAAAATTTACATTTAATTTTTAAGTTTATAAGCTAAATTGCGGCCAAAACAAGTGTTAGTGATGTCCGTTTGGGTTGAAATTTTGCTCAAATATGCATTAGACCATGCTGGAGTAAGTAAAGAAGAAATTGCATCGAATGAATGCTTCCCCTTTGAGTTATTATAACTTTAAACCTTCGCCATACGGGGCGCCACCCTCCCCTTTCTCGGCCCCTTTCCCCGGGTCAGCAGGGCGGGTCTAGGTCCCCGAGGACAGGCCTCCAGTCTCCTCGTTGGCCTAGTGGTTAGCACGCTGTACTGGGAAGACTTGGCTCCCGAGTTCGAACCCCGCCCGCAACATCGTTTTTGCCGATTGGCTCGAATGCATCGTTAAGGTTTTTAGTACCGTTACAAAGCGCCGCAGGCAAATTTTTTTGAAGTATTGTGTACAAGAGTTCATCTGAATAAGTATTCATTGGCTTATTTCACGATCTTAACAATAAGATTGAGGCAAAAAGGGCAAAATTCTCTCTAAGGCTAAAAAGAGTCTTTTCAAAAAAGGGCTTTTGGTTTTCGCAAAAGAGATCAATTCTCGTGGCAACAAAAAGTGCTAAATTCCTTTAAAACTCTGAAAAATGCCACAAAATGTGGGATCAACCAAAAGTTGCTGGCACCTTATTAAAAGGGACAGACTCGTTTTTAGCCGTTTCGGCTTATAAATAAATTTCTGTATTATGATCCATTTTCTTGAAATTAATCTGTGGACCTGACCTGTAATCTAAAGCAGTCCCAAGTTTGTTAAGATTTTAATTAGCCAGCAGCTTTTTGTTGTTCCCCATTTTGTGGCATTTTTCAGAGTTTTAAAGGAATTTAGCACTTTTTGTTGCCACGAGAATTGATCTCTTTTTGCGAAAACCAAAAGCCCTTTTTTGAAAAGATCTCCTTTAAGTTCTGCAAGTATCCCCGTCCCCTTCCGCATCGCCGCTTAGCGCCACCCAGACGGCAAAAACAGTTTTTTTCTTTCCGCTTTCTGCCCCACCCGATCTCTGGGTCTCCATTTCGCGGTCGAAAAAGTGAATGCACTGAGTGTATGGGGGGAGATCCTCCATGGCGCTTCGGCCATATCTACGGGCAGATCGTCGTCGGAGGAGCGAGTGCCGGTCCAAGGGAGACTCCGATGCCCCTAGCTCGCGCTCATTCCCCTCAAAATTCACTTTCCTTCCCCACCCGGGTTGGGGCATTTTCGATTTCGGCCCCCGGGGGCACCACTTCAGACACCGACCTGGAGAATTTATTGGCTTAGCAAAAAGCATTTGCGCTCATTTGTGCGGGTTTGGGGTAGCGGCTTCTAAAATATAGCTTATTGGGGCGAAAAAGGGTTTTTTTTAATTTAGATAGAATTTGATGCTATTTTATTGCCTCGGTGTTTAGGACACGTGAAAAGTGCGCGTACCGTTTTTTGTGCTGGGGGGGTAAGGTCGCTTTTAAAATCGTATTTTATAGGCCAGGATTTTAGGGCACGAAAATACTCACACGGCATTTTTATAGAAAAACTTTTAATCTCCATTTTTACCCAGTGAGGATCGGGGTTTTGAAAGAGCGCTTTTTAGGACTCGACAATTGTTTTTGACAAAAATTTTATGGGGACATTAATCCTGTTTTATTAGTAAGGATCTGAGAATCGGTGAAAACGCTAATCCATTTTTTATAGATCGAGCGCACCGTCGTCCGCGAGCCGGGAAATACCAAGATGCGCACGGCAATCCTCGTATGGCTGACGCTGCAGAACTCGATTCACACCCTACTCATCAGGTTTCATCAAAAACAGCTTTCTTATCTCGTTTTTAAGGTATTCTCGGGCCCGGGACATCGACGAAATGTTCACGTCGACGGTGGCCGTCTTTATGACAGAGGTGAAAAGCATAACACACTTTTTAAGCTTTTTTCAGATAGTAAAATTGATCATGTGTCTGGTATTGGTGATGTGGGAAGAGACGCCTAGAAAGTTTGTTGTATTTTTCTAGCTCTAACATTCTTTTTTGAGATTTTTGGCAACGATCCACGCACAGGTCATCAACCAGCCCGGCGACACGCTGAAGGTGGGTTTGAATTTTGAAAAAAGTGGAAAATAAAAAGTTTAAAAATGGAGAAATATATTAGTTCTTTAGGTCTGCATCCCGGCGATGATCTACACGATTCAAAACAATTTGTTTTACGTAGCGGCCAGCCATTTGGATGCGGCGACGTTTATGGTTGGAATTCTATATTTTCTTTAAATCGGAATTGTAGATCACCTCTCAAATGAAGATCTTCACGACGGCCATCTTCTCCGTGATCATCTTGGGCAGAACGTTATCGAGAGGGCAATGGGTGAGTTCTTTGCGAAAAACTGTTTTAGAACCATCGGAAAGAAAAATCTGCGAAAAATTTTTTTGTATCAGAATCTCCCAATTGATTTATGTTTTTAGGCGGCCCTGCTCGTCCTCTTCGTCGGCGTCTCTCTAGTACAGTCGCAGACTTCAAACAGTTCAGGCGGGCCACGGGACCAGAGCCCGTTCATTGGTACGTCCTGCTACAAAATACAAAAACCGTCATCACAATTTTCTAGCCAATTTTTTTCAGGTTTCTCGGCCGTGATCGTAGCCTGCTGTCTCTCTGGATTCGCTGGCATCTACTTTGAGAAGATTCTAAAGGTAGACCAGATTTTATAACCTGATTGTTGTTTTCTTTAGGGCTCAGCGCCGGTTTCGCTATGGATGCGAAACGTCCAAATGAGCGTTTTCGCCATCCCGGCATCAATGATTGCCGTTTTGGTGCAGGTATATGAGCCCAGTTTATTTGAGGGTTTTTTTCTAGGACGGAGAATTCGTGCAATCACACGGACTGCTCTACGGTTTCGACAACATCGTCTGGCTGACGTGCTTCTGGTATGGCATCGGAGGGCTGTCGGTGGCTGCTTGTATCAAGTGAGTTTCTCTCTTTCTAACTTTTTCGGATCTGCTCCTTTAGCGGGGGGAGCAGGAAGAATACTAAGTTGGTCCACTTCTCCGTCGTAGGCATCGAATAAGCAAGTATAAACAGTTTTAATAGAATTTTTAGATAGAAAATGCTTAAAAATTGTATCTAAATAATTGAATAATTTACTTTATTTTAACCGAGTTCATTAAATTTCGAAAACTTTCCCTCTTGCTCGAAATTTATGTAAAAAATCTATGACTGAATTACGGCCGATTATTAATAATAAACCGCAAATGAACTAGAACCGATTTCGCGATCTCTCGCTCTTTCTGGCTCTCTCTCTCTTTCTCTCGCTCGCTCTTTAATTAAACCCCTTTAGGTACGCCGACAACATTGCCAAAAACTTTGCCACCTCGGTCGCGATCCTGCTCTCCACAATCGGCTCGGTGTGGCTGTTCGGCTTCGTGCCCTCGATGGTGTTCATGCTGGGCGCCGCTTTAGTAATCCTCTCCATATTCCTCTATTCGAACCCCCTAATCTTTGCCCAAATGCTTTCCCGGCAAAAAATATGATGATGTAATTCCACGCTCCGGCGTTTTTTTCTTGGCTTCACATATCCATTCAGCTATTCCACGCTCTTTCCGTTAATCCTGAAATTAATTTATTTTACATCCTTCCATAATAGGTATCCAAATATTTATTAATTCAAATGATGACTCGTGCTTGTGATATGTTTGATTGGTCACACCATTCGTTGCCTTACCCCCTCCTCGCCTGTATCCCCCGATGTGCTTTATCCGTTTTTTTTTTTCTTTGTAACGGGTTCTCCTCGATCCGCGTGGTTTCTGTGATTTAATTTTTTTGCGATTTCATTTTGTCTTGACTTTTCGGTCATATCATGTAGCCTATGAACGGAAATCTCATCTCACAATTGCCTTTCCGAGAAATGAATGATTCTACGGTGATTCTGAGTATTTGCAGGCAAGCACGGAAATTACATTCCAATCGGATACCAAAGACGAACATTTTTAATTTATTGTTGACCAGCGCCCAAAACCCGCTTCGCGGGCCTTGGGCGCTGGAATGCGGCCTTTGCAGGAAAAATTTGACTTCTCGATAGCTCGGGTCCTTCTGCCCCCGTCCGACCACACGCGCGCGTGCAACTTGCAAGAATGAGGAAATTTGTATTTTTTCACATTATGCAAATTAGCCCTCAGGGACCCCAAAAATGAGTAAAACCGGCTTTAACTTTGTAAACTTGTATTTTATCGAAATTCTGAAAACGCCATCGGAAAGAGGAGGGTCGATTCCCCCAAGTGACGGGGAATTGGGACGTTTTGGACACGGGAAGGCCCTCAAATCGGGCCTCGAAACTGACATCCACACACACACACACACACAAAGATACACGTCAAAATTACAGGGTGTCCCAAAAAAAAACGACCCATCTGGCATTTCGCCGGGTTACATCCAATCGGTCCCAAATTTGGACCCGAGGTGTATCAGACCCTAAATAACAACAATCCTGACTTATAGCCCCATAGCTACAGTAGTTTGAAATTTATAACGAAAATACTGTTTTTCCCGGAATTCTGAACAGTTTTATCGGCTATCTTTTTGGACTTTGCATCGATTTGCATCGACTTCCGGCTCCGAATCCCTAATTTCGCTTAAGTTCTTGGGTAATTTTGCGTTGTAAAACGCTTAAATCGAAGCTTATTTAATTAATTTTACTCTGGAAAAAATTTCTTACGGTAAAGAAAGCCTACCGGATCATTTTCACTTAATGTTTAGGGGGGTCTAATTCCACGAAAACCCTATGAAAATTGGAAAATAAAGTTTGTTTTTGCTATAACTTGAGAACAGCAGTAGCTACCGGGCTATAACTCAGGATTGTTGTTATTTAGGGTCTGGTACACCTCTGGTCCAAATTTGGGACCGATTGGATGTAGCACGGCGAAATGCCAGATGGGTCGTTTTTTTTGGGACACCCTGTATATAAGGTAGGATGGACCAAGGACGACGAAAATCATGGCGCGCTGGCTTTAAAAGGTCCGAGAAGCGCAACAATCGACGCCTTCTATTGGCTCGGCTAGAAAGTACTCGGTATTCCAAATGACGTGTTTCACGTCTACCTTTTTTATCCAAGCTCCAAACGCCTAAAGCTTATAAAAATGACCAACGCGCGTAACTAGGGTGCTGCGTAGCTTTTAGACCTAGCAGCTGAAACGGGGTAGATCCTTGTTCTTCCAAATCCCTTTAATCCCCCGGCACAACGATTTCTTGCAGGCGACACTGCTGCGCTTTCGGCGATGCAAGATACAATCTCGGCTGCCAGCCCCCGAATGGCAAATCGAAGAAATCGGCCGTGTTTTCCCTGTGAATGGCATTTCGGCTTCTTCTGCTTCGGGGGCGAGGGAACGCCGTATGGTGTGATGAAGAAAAGGCATAAGAAGTATGGCGATCGATGTGTGAGACTGGCCACTTTTCACGCCCACAAGAACTGTTCCACAGTAATTTTATAGTATTTATCTTTATTCAGTAGATTTAGCACTATTTAGGTGAACGCGCACGGTTCTGGACTGTTAACGGGGGTAGATTTTAGCATCATACCTGGCGGAGATTGTGCACTATATAGTGTATTTCAGCGCGTTTTTAGTAAATTCCGTGTCTGAAAAAGTTATAAAGACGCTAAAGTCAAAACTGAAAATTTTCGACAATTTCGTACATTATTAATCAGAAACCGGTTTTGTAGCGAGCTTTAATATATTTTTTAGAAACTTTCTTTACTTAGAACGGCGAAAAACGCTATATAAAGGCGCGTACTTCGTCACTGAGACATTTGACAATGAAAACAAAAACTTCAAACATTTTTACATTTTTTACCAAAAACCAATTTTTTTCAGGAATTTTTGCTAATTTTTTATGCATGTTTTATCCATAAACAAAAATAAAGTTATATTTATTTCTTTATAGACTATAACCCCCCGCTAAGAGTGCAGAACCTATTTTTTTTGTACACTTTAATACCATTTAGGTCCTCCTGCACTAGCGCGCCGGCAACCATTTCCGTAACCCAAAACATGGCCCGGCTCGCGTTGCCCTTCGCGGTGGGAACATTGGCACGCGGACCGGCTGGCGGTTAGTGGGCCCCTAGTCTGGCCCATGGCGATGGCTTCATCTGGCCGTCTGCCGTCTCTGCATCTCCCACACGCCTCCCCGGCATTGGGCCACGTCCAAAAGCGCCTGGATCAACATCCCTCGGCCGGGCATTTTACGGGCCGCGTTTCGATGGGATTCGGGCTCGTTTTGGGCTCGTGCTTCCGTATAGTTACAGGAATAGGTTTTGTTTTGTTTGTAGGGTAAATGAGGGCGTAATCGTCGCGCTTTCTTGATTAGAAAATGGAACAGAAAATGCTTAGATTTTAGCTTATAAAAGTTCTATAAAACTAAAATAAAATTAATGCTTATAATTCATTGAGCCATTTTCTAGCTTTAGAATTGGCCGTAGGCGCGCTTTAATCTTCAGCAAAATCTAATTGGCCTAGTTTTTTTCGTCTATTTCTGCTATTTTAAAAGCAGGTTTTAACTTTGGATTGCCATGGTTTTGGCAGTTTTAAATCTCGAAAAAGAACTGGGATTTAAGAAACAAACTTCTTATTCTAACTATTTTGAGGGCCCATCGTGCGTCTGCTAGCTTTCATTATTAGAAAAATAGAATAGTCTCTTCTTATACAAATTTTTTCCGGTAGAAAATTGGTTTTATTTTTCCATTTACTATAATTTTTAGCCTTCCCCGCGTCGCATCAAACTGTTTATCAATCACATCCCCCAATAGGCGACTGGCCCAACGCGAACTCGCCGGCCCCACCAGCCGAAACAGCTGACCTATGCTAGAAAGGAATCACTGCGCCGCCGACCTTCCCCAATCCCCGTTATCAAAATAGCTCCACCCGAAAAAGCGTGCTAAAGCCGTGAGAAAATGCATAAGCCCCGCGTTTGCCGATACGGCCGGGATCGTTTTGGCCTGTTTCTTGTAAATTTTACGAGGTGTTAATGGTTAATTTTAGTTTTTTAGGCTTTCCCCCTTCTGGTCGAATGATTCCTACTTGGTTTCCGTTTTCTGTAAAGCAGAAATTCTTGATTTGAGCGGTGGAAAGAGCTAATGCTTAGCTTTTCGTTTGAAATTTTGTTTTTAGGCTGAAACAGTTCTTGATTTTTCTCCACAAAGACTTTCAAAAAGAGAAATGGATAGAGTGGCCACGTGGGTATATCCGTTTTATGTGATCTTTATTTTTTTTGCTTTAGTAAGTCATTTATTTAGCGAAGAAATTTCTATTCCCATTCCCCAAAGTACAAATGTACTAAAACTGACCAAAAATCACCATCGTTTTTGAACGTCCATCTATCGGCCGGCTTCATTGATCGCCCTATCTAGTCCAAGTCCAGCTTTTTTTTATTTGTCCGTGCCCTCCCACTTTTATATTAGCTTTTGCTCCAAACCCACGGCAAACAGAGCTTCGAAGGCCAAACTTTTTCCTATTTCCGGTCTGGACGCCCCATTCCATTAGCCACAGTCCACAGTGCGCTTTTTGCCATTTTTCATCCGGCACCTCGGCGCAATTTATTATTTTTTTCGGGGGAACTGCCACATCGCCCCGGTTCCAGCGGTCCTCTAGAGGTGGTGCTCTCGCTCATGCGGGCTGGTTCGTTAGCGGGGGGGGGGGGTTTAGCGCCGGGAACTACTGAATTTCTTCTATGTTCCATTAGAAGCCAAATAATGAACTCAATAACGTATTTTCCTTTTGAGACAAACAAGTTATAAAAACTATTCAGCTTTCGAAACTTTTGTTTTTTTTGCCAAAAAATTGAAAATCCTTAATTTAAAAATTTTTTATTTTATTTAGTTACCAGGGTTGAAAAGCCGCTTCGCCACTTTTCAACCCTGGCCCCGTCTCGGACCCCATACTATTCGGCCCTTTGCATAATTGTCCTCGATTCAGAAGACAAAAAAATGAAAAACAACCCTTTCTCCTCTTTATATAGGCGACCACCCACTTCCGGTTTATGCTAATTATTCCTAACAAAGAGGTTTTTACAAAAACCTAAATTTAATAGCAAAAATGGCTAATTCTTAAAAATCTGATACGTGTGCAGTCATCCCTAGACAGGGACGTAGCGTAATACAGGCCCCGGGGCCCGGGCCCCCCCCCCCCCGAAATCGGCCGGGGCCTGAAAATTTCATAAGGGGAGACCCTTATGATTTTTATTTTCTCAAAAATTTTGCTGCCTGCGGCGCTATTTTTTCACGTTTTTACGGCTATTTGTAGAGCTATGCAACCTTTTTTGCAAAAATTCTTGCCTGCGGCGCTGTTTTTTCGGCAATGTTTTGAGTTTTTTGGAAAAATTTTTTGGGGCCCCCCCCGAAATTTTTTTCTGGCTACGCCCCTGTCCCTAGACCATTACGCACCTAATGACGTATCATTCGTAGCTTATCACCCCTCGCCTCTTGAGATATCCTCCGGACGGACAGACGGAAGTGGATGCAAAGTGACACACACACACAAACACACACAGACACTATTTTTTTATATACCAGGGTTGAAAAGCCGCTTCGCGACTTTTCAACCCTGGCCCGGTCCGGGACCCCATACTATTCTGCCGTTTGCATAATTGTACTCCATTCAATCAGGACAAAAAAAATGAAAACAACCGTTTCTGCCTCTTTATATAGGCAACCACCCACTTCCGCTCTATGCTAATTATTCCTAACAAAGAGGTTTTTACAAAATCCTAAATTTAATAGCGAAAATGGCTAATTTTTAAAAATCTGATATGTGGGCAGGCATCCCTAGACCATTACGCACCTAATGACGTATCATACGTAGCCTAATACCCGTCCTTTCTTGAGATATCCTCCGGACAGACAGACGGAAGTGGATGCAAAGTGGCACACACACACACACACACAAACACTATTTTTTTATATATAGTAGGATTCGCACTGCCAACCATATAGAAATAATCCAGGTTTTATTGGAGTAAGGGTTATTCTGGATAATAGAAATTGCCCCCCCGCTAACGAACAAGAACCTCCCACCAGCTGATTTTGAGCTGAACAAGCAGTAAATTGATGTCATGCGCTGGATTGTATATGGTCGATTGCCAGCGGGACAGACATAGATGGGATAGAGATGCTTTGTTGGTTCAGCACGAGCCCGCTGATTTACGTGGCATCCAGTCAAGGGGCATCGCCAAACCCCCGAAAAGTCGATTCGTTTACCGGCCGTCGTACTTTTCGCCTATCAATCACCGGCTACTAGGGTGGGGGCTGTCCGGATCCGGCTATAAAATTTGATGTCTGGCGCTTTTCCGAGAATTTGCGAATTCCGCTTTCTATTTCGGATTTTCTAATTTTTTCCGCGTCAATTCCATTTTTTTCAGCGAAACGACCAAGTAGAACCAACGCATTGAAGACGTTCACTTTTTCCCGGCGACGAACCAACCATGGCGAACGCCCAGCCGGCTTCGGCAAAAAGTAAGTTTTCCGGTTTTGCGGATTTCCGGAGGTAAATTCCGCATGAATCAACTCTCATTACTTTTTCGAAATGTTAAAAAATATAAATTAAGGAAAATGCTGCGAGCTTTTTTTAGTATACGTCTGTCTAAAAATTTGAAAAATTTGATTTTTAAAAATAGCAAAAAGTGTTGATTTTCGTTCAAAATCAGAAATCTTTATTTTTCTGAGTTTCCTCTATAGTTTCCTGGCCTGAAATATACTTAAATTATGCCCCAACATTTTATTTATTAGAAA